GGCGTCCCGATCCGATACGTGGATCGGATCGGGACAAGCCTACACAATATATCGCCAAAACGATTATTTCCCACACCCCCTTGCTTCCTTCACGCCCCTCTCAAACCACCTCCTGTCTTCTTTGTCTAAAACGTGAACATTCTGGTCCTCCAAAGAATGTCCTTTGTCCCTAAGGTGTAGATGTAGCGCAGTCTTGTCCAGAGGAGGGCGCTCTTCTGTGTTGGGCCATGCGTCTGTGGAGAGGTTGTTTGATTTCTCCAATCTAAAAGATCAGAGCATTCCTCACTGCACTGACCAGCATATACCACTCCGCTCAGATTAGGCCTGAGGGTTTTTGTCTTTACGATGCACTAGTCTCTGTTTAAGGGTCTTGTTTAGTTTGAAATGTTCTGCTTCTTGGTATGTTAAAGTACCAATAGTTTGCATCCCATCTCCTAAATAAACTTAGTTTTTGGGAATATATAAGAATTATGCTCTAATTTAAGTTCCCGAGCTGTCGTTGCCATATTTTAGTTTGACAAACCAGATCTTTTCTCCGTTCTTTTTCCCGTTTGGTGCGATTGCGGATCTTGATCTGGCCCGACAGGCTGTTGGATCGATGCATCGATACAAAACGATTATTATTTACACCCCTAGTTCCCACGCACCTCGCTCTGCTAGCTGGTCCATCTTCACAAGTCGTTTTCCAATATGGCGGTCACACAAACAAAACAAGTGAGTATAAATCAGCCTTTAGTGTACGGTGATGTCTGGAAGAGCAACGGTGGAAGTGGAACAGCTCTCTTTCATTAACATAAGCGTGCAAGCGCTCCGCACAACGTAGTTGAGCGGATCGGATCGCTGACGGAGTACGTGGAATCTGGGGGTTACAGTCTGATTACCTTTGAGTGACTTTTGTTTTCCAGCTTTCATCCTAGGTGAACCGTTCGTCGTCTTCTTCATCACGACCAGCTGGTCGTCGTCAGAGCTGTGCTCGCTGGAAGTCTCTGCATAATTAACTGGAGAAAAAGCAGCTTTAGTTTGTTTAAATTAGGGAGAAAAAAAAACATTTAAAGAGACGTTCAAAGTTTCCTGCTCACCGCTCTTCCTGGCCGCATTCCTCGGGGATTTAAGCACCTCGCTGGTTTTATACCTCACGACGGCTTTTCTCTTCCTCTTTGAGGGAAGTTTTTCAGCTATCTTGTTTAAAGGCTCGTCGTCATCGTCGGAGCTGTCATCCTTGTCCGACGGCTCTGCAGGGAAAAAGGAGGTATATAAAAGCTTTTACTGCCTAGAAAAACCATCAGAACCTGCAGAAGAAGAAGACAGGAAGCCATCTCACCTTTCTTCTTCCTAACAGCAGGTTTCTTCTTCTTCTCTGGGGTTTGCTTCTTCCTCGGTGACCTGGAAGGTTTGGCGGTTTTCACCAGAGGCTCGTTGTCAGAGTCTTCACCTGTGTTGGAACCTTAGGCAAAAACAGAAGAATATTCAAACGGGCCTCAGGAAGCTCAGCTATGACATCAGAACCATGTGTGGTGAAGGAAACCTGATTGTCTTTCCACTGAGCCGTCAGATTGAGAAGTCGACGCCTTTTTGTTTTTTGCTGCAGGTTTTTTCTTCTTTATCAGCGGTTCGTCATCGGAGGATTCAACTGTGAGAGAATTAGTTCAACAAGAAAATCACTAAACAGACAGAACCCTTTATGAAATAAAGTAAAAATAAAAGAACCGTGCACAAAAAATGGGAGTACGCTGTTGTCCAAAAAAAAACCCTCCTCCCAAGTACAGAGTGATAGAGGAATTATCATCCGTGTTACATCTGCACACTAAAGTATTTAGAGTTAAACGTTGGAGCGGGTGGCGTTCTAACTTCCTCACAATATGCAAACTAGCCAGTCAGAGGTTGATCTGATCCACCTGCCGTCGCTTCATTGGGTAGAAACCAAACAAACGCTGATAATTGGCCGAAGCTCCGCCCCATTCTGTGACTGTTACTGATTCTCCTCATTATTCTGCAATCTGCTGATTCTAATGTCCAAAGAATCCTACCTGGACCTAAAGATATCTCTGCTTCAATACATAAAGGAGGAGGTTCTAACAGACGCTGCAGGAGGTTCTACCAGACGCTGCAGGAGGTTCTACCAGACGCTGCAGGAGGTTCTACCAGACGCTGCAGGAGGTTCTACCAGACGCTGCAGGAGGTTCTACCAGACGCTGCAGGAGGTTTGATCAGCTGCTATCTCATATTTATGGAGATCCGATCATCTCCTTTATGTCGGAAGCATAAAACTTTTTTTGTACTTTATTTTTACCACGACTTCAGTAGTAGAACTAAGACAGACTTTAGGAAGAAGAGAGAAATCATCTCACCTTTCTTCTTCCTACCAGCAGGTTTCTTCTTCCTCCCTGGGGTTTTCTTCTTCCTCGGTGACCTGGAGGAAGGTTTGGAGGTTTTCGCTGCAGGCTTGTAGTCCGAGTCGTCACCCGTGTTCGAATCTGAGGAGACAAAAAAACAGAAGAATATTCAAACCAGCCTAAGTAAATGTGCAATAACATCAGGTCCATGTGTGGTGAAGGAACACCTGAGGTTCTGTCTGCTGATTCGTCAGATGGGGGCGGAGTCGACACCTTTTTGTCTTTTGCTGCAGGTTTTTTCTTCTTCATCAGTGGTTCGTCATCAGAGTCGTCATCTGAAGCTACCAGAAAAGATTAAATCGTTAAAGACTGATCGCCAGAGACCAGTGGCGGCGGCTGCTCTCTGAAACAGGGGAGGCTACAAGGTCAAATCCAAACGTCACGTTATGCTGAAACACATAAAACATCACTACCATGGCTGAATACAGCTGCTGTGAAGCGATCTGAATTAATAACTTCCCTGGAGCTCGAGAAGAGCATGCAAGATATTATTTTTATTATTAAACTAAAACTAAAATATTTTTGTTGTGGATTTTTGTAACGGGGATAACTAGGATCATACAGGGTTTGTATGAACTATGTTCTCTACCTCCAAAATCAGCATCTCTTCATCCATTCTATAAGATGTTTGTTTTGAAGTTTTGAGAGGGGCTCTTGGAAACTGTTGTGACAGTATTTAATTAATTAATAAACTTCTCGGTAAAAAATAAATATTTTGATGGAGATGAGAAATCTGCTTCCTGGTCTGTTGAAGTATCAATAGTTTGCATTCAATAATCTAATTAAACTGACTTAGTTTTTGGGAATATGTAAGAATTATGCTCTAATGTTTATTTACCGATCTGTTACCATATTTCAATTTGACAAACTGGATCTTCTCCACGTTCTTTTTCCTGTTTGGTGCGATTTGAATTGCGGATCTTGACCTGGCCGAACCGGAGCGGAGCAAAAAGTAGCTTGAATCGGTATTTTGATGGAGTAGACGTACGTGGACGGTGACGTGCGGAGGAGTAGCGGTGGATGTGGAAGCGCTCTCATTGATTAACATGACAGACTAGTATTGTAACATAACTGTCGGGTTCATAAAATGTAGGTTTTTGCTTAAGAAGAACTGAAATACACAATTATGGATACAATTCCTGCAGGAAGGAGAGACAGTTGAACCCCAGACTCAAACACTGTCTCCCACT